GTCTCTGAATAGGTGTTTGTGACCTTTTCACTGGCAACATCATCCTTGAATACAAATGGGACAGAGGCAGAAATTCCTCAGAAACTATCTGTATACATATTTAATTGACTTCACAAGCAAACTATAGAACCCTATAAACATTAAACTACACTTAAGAGCAGCAGCAAGGGCTGTTTGAAAGTCTTTTTGGACAACACACTGAAGTGCAAAGGTGGTCAAAATGACAGTGAGTTCAGCTTCCCCTCACCATGCTTTTGTTTCATATCACTACAGAAAAAGATCATTAATAGAAGTCTCATTACATTTTCAAGGGTAAGAAATAACTCATACAAAGCCAAGGTGTTCTTTTCTCTTCCAACAGCTTCCCCAGGCAGAGCAGTTCTGGGATAACCAGCAAGGACAACACTCTGTCCCCCGTAGGAGCCTTTGGCAGCCTCAGGTTTAGAGCAGCATCTCCTGAATCTCTAATTGGGCTGCAGCCTCTTATCAAGATACAGCTCTGAGCTTAATTAGAGCCAGAAATCGATGAAGCTCATTGAGAAGGTATGAGAAAGGTTTGGGCAATTTTCGGTGATGGTTCAAATTTCTGCCCTGGAATTGTTTCCAATAATAACAAAAGCTTAATGCAAAAATAAGAGTTACCCAGACATATTGCTCTGCTGCTGCAGGATTTAATGCTACAATTTCTGGAGCAGGGTGGCACCAGCTTTTACCAAAGGAGCTGCCACAGAGAACACTGGAAAACAACTCCAAGATTCTCCACGCTGAGGCTCTTCCTTCCGCAGCTCTTTTGGTTTCATTTTATGACCAACATTGCAATTAAGGTATTTTTTACTAGAACAAGGATTTGCCATTAGCAACAGCCTTTTCAGCTCTACTGAAAATATTTCCATTATTTCTTTTCAAAGCAAAAACCTGATAATTCTATCAAAGCACTTCTTCTGCATTTGCTTTTCCCCATACAATTTGCTCTTGCAGCACAAACAAGGCAGTGATCAGCCTATTGCCATGTGCAACCCCTGATGTACCACTATAGATACCCAAAATTAAGGTTTTCTTTTTCTGTTTTTAATTGTAATTACATTAACACAGCGAGTCATTTAAGATACACTGTCAGACACTGAATGCTGTCCTAGACAGCAAAAGCCGACTTTGTGCTACTCCAAAAACTCACTGAAAGGGAATCACATGGACAACAATAATAAAGAGCAGCTCTGCCTCCTCCCCCACAAACACAGGGATTCATTTATTTTCTAGACTTCAGACCTGCCATATCAATTTAATAAGGGGAACAAAAATGGAAATGTTTTTGGTTTATTATTTTCTGGTTCATTATCAACTGCAGTAAATATTTCAACAGAGGGAGAGAAAACTCATGATCCCCCCCCCTCCAGCACCAAGGCAGGGGCAGGAAGCCCATGCTGTGACCTGACTCCAGCCCAGCATTTGCAGCAATCCCCAGGGCACTGGGCATGGCCATCAATTTGAAATATTTCCCAGATGAAACGTGAACTCACAACCTTCCCACATTTCACTGCCGCTCCGGCGCGGCCCCGCCGCCGCTTTCGGGCTGGGCAGATTAAACACAGCGACGACCTGTTTCCCCAGCTCCTCTGTCATCACTGTCCACCCTTATCTAAGGGAAATGCTGCAGATTCTTTCATGGCTGGGGACAGCAAAACACATTTTCCCAGTGCTCTCAACTCATGGCACGTGTTGTAAACAAACCTGGTCCCCAGCACGGGCGGCGAGGGAAGAGCTCTGCCAACAGCCAGGAGAGATGTCACTGCAGACACCAAATTCCTGCCTCCCCCACGGGAGGAGTGCTGCCCTGGCCTGGCCTGGGACTGGGGTGACACTGGCTTTTGGCACCCAAGGAAAATTGAGCAGGTACAAAAGTGCACACAGAGTTTATTGTTTGAGATTTGGCCCTACAGACTGTCTCAAATGTGGGATCCAGCAGCGTTCAGCTTTAGGGGGAGACTCTCTCAGCTCCAGGTCTTCCCCCACAATGTCCCGTGTTCTTTTCCATATCAAACCACTCCTCAAATGCACAGTCAAAGACTGGGTGTGTAACCAACGGGTCCATGAAACCTCCAATCACTGAATCCTACAATGGTTTGGCTTGGAGGGACCTTAAAGCCCATCTTGTCCCATCCCCTGCCACGGGCAGGGACATCTTCCACTAGACCAGGTTGCTCCAACCTGGCCTTGAACACTTCCAGGGATGGGCCAGCCAAAACTTCCCTCCAAAGTGAATGGAATTCTCTTAACTCCACCTCCCAGCTCCACAGGGTAGTAAAGAGACTGAGGACACAAATTAGTACAGTCCTCTCCTGGACTCTTTAGTACTTTTCTAGTCCAGTACTCCTTCCTAGTTAAAGTCATTTTTCTGATTCAGTCCTTCTGTTGCTGTGTGTAGGGAAATTAAATCAAATCAAATTTTTAAACCCCAACATTAGGGCAATAGAGGGCTCCTCTCACACCTTTCATTTATGACCCAGGGGTTCAACAGATGACAGAGTGAAATGCATGGCATCTTTAAGTGACACCAACAGGATCTAACTCCATTAGTTCAAGGTACCATTTATCCAGATTGAAAACGGTGCCAAATTTAACAGAAAAACCCCATGAACTCCCAGGGTGATGACTTTACACACCTGGATGCAGCTGGCAATAAGCTTTCTGCAGCCATCTCCCACGGACCCCAGTAAAACACAGGTATTTCCTGCCAGCTGAGCACAGCACAGGCCTCATGTGAGATCCCTGAGGGTACCCCACCCCTTAGGGATGGTCAGGAATTCCATCCTCACTGCCATGGAAGAATGAGTATTCCAGCAACCAGCCCAAGGCAGCTTGTTGGGACCACACCAGAGACATGTGCTGCCTTCCAGGGTTTCACATCCTTGCTAAAGGACAGAGAAAAGCTGCTCTTGGAGCACAGTAACCTTTAATGAGCATTCCTTTTACTCTGGTACAATTTAACCTTACAATTGCATAAAGCAAGTTGTTTCAGGTTGGAAAATTCAGTCAATCTGTCCCTGGCACTGCTGGGAAATCTCAGGGAAGAGACACCCCAGGACCTTCTTTTCACTTTCACTGCCCCAACGCTGCCAAGCAATGGCACCTTCCCCAGCCCTCAGCACAGAGTCCCACTGAAATGTTCACAGAAGGGAGAATGGATTGGCTGCCTTGGCACAGCCCCAAATGTGCTGCTGAAATCTCCCAACAAAAAACCCAGGGGCTTCAAGGAGAGAGGCAGAAAAATAGGAGAGACAAGGGAATTAGTACCCAAAAAATGGATTTCTTGTCTGAAATTCTGCCAGACTAATTTCCAAGAATGGCAGAAGGAGCTTAAATTAAGCAAAATCATGCTGTTATTAGGTATAAGAGATGACAATTTCTCTAGTCCAGAAGGAAATGATACAGTGATCAGATAACAGTTACTCAAGCCATTCAACCCTTCACCAAAGTACAGTAATGCAGAAATACAATTACTCCCCACAGTGACCTCTCAAAGGAAAGGAGAATTAAGATTACAACTGAGAAGTAAAATCAGAAATGCCACTATCTAAAATGCATTCTGTAGCATCTTTAATATATTATAACACTTAAGCATGAAAGGATTTTCTTTCTAGTGCCAGGTATGGAACAAAAACTCAGCACAGAAGAACTGGCAGAACATATTCTCAATCTTTACAACCAACTGAGGAAATCCTTTACATTAGCTCAGATAAGGAGCAAAAGAGCTCTCTCCAGCTCACTTTCATCCCCCAGTGACCTGTCTGGATGTCCTACACTGAGGCCATAATCTCACTCTTATCCATGACTTGCTTAATTGCATCGTATCATTAATGTTATTAATTGCTGCCACTGCCCATAAAACACAAAGCCAATTCTGTAAAATACAGAGGCTGGAACTGAATTAAACCCAGCCCATGGTGGGGTGTGAAACCATCAGCAAGTTCTCTTAAGCCTCAAGCATGTGAGTACTTCTAAGAGCACCAAATCCTTATTTTTTGGCCAAGACATAAGGTAAGAAAACACGGGGGGTTTTCTGCATGACCAGAATTTGTTGGCTTTCTTTTTGGTCCCAGAGGTTTTATCTCTATGTAAGCCTTTATTCATGGTTGTTCAGTGATTCAATTTATCCCCTCAGAGCAACGCTGTAGCACCAGAATCCTGGTAAAACAAGTCAGTTAAGCTCTTACAAGGACCCTGCACACACAAACCCCTTGTGCATGCCATGAAACTTCACCTGAAGAATTTTAAACCCTTATTAAAATCCAGTTAATAAAAATAATTTCCTCACAGAATGTAAGAAAGGCCAAGAAGGCAAACTTCCATCTGTATTTTTCCCCATCCCTTACCAAGTCTACTTTCTTTGCTTACCAAGTCTGCTTTATTTTTTGTTTTTTTAAAGTAAGATGTTTTAAAGACAGCATTATCAATATTTCAGTGCTGTTTCTGGTAAGAACAGCTTGCAAAAGTAAGCAGAACAGTTATACACACAATAAACCAGCACATTACTAAATATCTCAGCTTTTATCTTCTGTCAAGCTCCTTGAAAACAACAGTATATTTAAGGATTATCAAAAATACATTATATATGTCCTTTCCAAAGACAACCTACATTGTGGTACTACAGGTCAGCTTCCAGATGTGATCAGCCACGCTGTGGTCTTTGTCCTCCTTTAATAAGTGCATGACATTTGGTATTATATAAGCACATAGAGCAGCTTTGAACCATGCTCAAGTTGTGTTATACAATATTTGACTATTTATGGAACTGTAAGCAGTCTGAATAACAAATCAAAATAACACACCAACATTTACAACAGGACTGGAGGGTGGTTCCTCATCGTGGGTTGGGTTTTGTTTATTTTTTAATGGGGCACCAAACCCTGCCAGGGTTAAACAGGGTCTGTACCAGAGCCCAGGACTCCTGAGGGAAGTCTCCAGGAGAAGTGCTGTCCCTGGCAATGAGGTCTCTGCCCTACCTTGCACCGTGAGCTCTGCCTGGGCCGCCGCCGTGTCGTTGCCGCTCTCAGCGATGCAGGTGAAGGTCCCGGCGTCCCCCTCGCCCACGTCCCGGATCTCCAGGGAGCCCCCGGCCAGCAGCTGGAACCGCCCGGACCTGGGACACAGACACACAGGTGACTCCACGGACACCCCCTCCACAGGGCACTCCTGGGTGCCAGGTGCACAAAACCACCTCACAGGGAGCATTTTTAATTACACCGTCAAGTTCCAACCTCGGCTTCACGTTGCCAATGAAGTTCAACCCCATCAATTCCACAAGAGCAGCTCATCTTTTTTGCACTTGCGGCTTCAGTTGTTCTTAATTAAATGTGAGCCGAGGTATTTAGTCAAGAGCAGCCAGGACTGGAGAAAAATGAAGTATCATAACCACATCATTAAAAAAAATGCATTTTGCAGATGCAGCTGGAATGACTTATTGCTGAAAGCTGAGTGAATATAACATGACAGACTTTACAGCACAAGGAACAGTAATGCACATTAGACAATGTATAGTAATTGAATTTTTGCGAAAAGAAAAGCCATTTCTGTAAGATGAAATATTGCAGAAAAAGATACAGGTTAAAAAAAACACAATTCAAAATATAAATTCATCAGGTGACAAAGTGTCTGTACAGAACTTCTCCCTCTGACTTGTGAAGGGGGGGGGAAGAGTTTCTCATTCAATCCTTATAAGCATCTGCTGTTGATGCTAAATGTAGGAGACAAATGTGGCATTTGATCTCAGTGCAGCACCCTCAGCCTCCAGCCACATCTGACCATCACTGCCCTTTACACCACACCACAGATTTGTTCAAGCCTTCCAAGATCCTTCAACACTCCAAGTTTCCACAGTAAAATGCCAAGAGCAAAATGCCAAAAGACCCCAAGCCAAGACACAAATCGTGCCTGGATGCTGACCCAGAACCTTTCTTAATTCCAGTTGGAAGAGCCTACTTGGGGCCTCCTGCCTGGCATCCTTGAGCCACAGCTTGTGGGCAGGAAGGGATTGAATTCTGCCAAAATAGGAACTAAAAATACATTACCACAATTAATTTTGGTCCCTACAGAGAGTGGCCAGTGTGCAAAAACCAACCTTGTTGAAATTCCTAGAATTATGTTGGTAGGACCAATCCTCACCTGCTTGGAAAAGGAAATTGTTGGGACACAAAGATTTTGGCTCATCTCACTAATTACCACATAAATATTGATTTATGATACTTCCATAACTGCTGATCAAATGCCTGATTCAATGCATTTAAAAGCAGAGCAAACAAAACCATTACTGGAATTAAGTGAGAGGAGCCAGACTTAAAAGCATCCAGAGATGTCCCTATCCAGGTATTCCATAAGGAAAGCCATCCCATTCTCATGAGTAACAGAAGGACCACAAAAGGGTTGGTTTGGAAGAAGTGCAGAGAATTTGAGTGAAGATATGAGTTTAAAAAACATATGAAGAGCTTCCCAGATGCTGAGAATGTCACTGAGGCTTCTGTGTGTGGGAACAGACAGAGTGAGGCTGCACTAAAACCAGGCCTAAAGAAAAACACAGGAGTGAGACAAACCTGGGCCTTGACACATCCACACAGGAAGTTTTCTACCTTCTTTTATCATGGAAAACACCTGCTTTGATTATTTGTTTGTCAGTTTTGGCGAATTAATGTGAGTAGCAAAGAAGGTGCTGAGGGCTGGGCTGAAACCTGGGAGGACTGAAGCCAACAGGGACATGTGCTGGATGTGCCAGGGACAGCCGGGACACAGGCAGGGAGGGAGCTGAGCCTGTCAAGTCCCAAAGGAATGGTAAAAGGCTATTGGAATAACCTCATGGATAACAGGATTCTGAGGATATCAGTGCCTTTTTCAGGATATCCACCACTGTTACCCATCCCAAAGCTACCTGGGCCTTAGGCTGCTCCTTCTCCCACTGCCAGCCTCTGGAAAAGTAACATCTCCATGGTGAGGCACCAGACTGCTGTGGTTATGAACCAGTAGTTAAGACATTGCTATAACTATTAAAAATTAGTGGTGTTGCCACTTAGGTAACAAAAGTTTGTCAGAGGGGATCTCACAAACCACCTGTGACCCAGTGGTGTTTCCATGGATTCTCCTTTTGGCAAGGAACAGGGTTATACAGTGCTCAGCCATCACTATGGTGTGCCATGTTTATGCTCTCTGGGATTATTTTCCTCAAGAAAACCCAGAGTTGAGCCCAATCTACCAACACATGATCCATTACAAATTCAATGGGAGAAAACAAACTCCTCAGTGATTCCCTGTGTGTGCATTAGCTGTGGAAAAATCCTGGGCTTAAATGAAAACTGCCTTTGCAATAAAGTAAAAACATCTTAATTTTGTAAGGACAATGAAGCATTTCCACAAAAGAGTGAAGAAATCAGATTTCAGGCACTGGAGACAAAGAATCAGCCTAATATAAAAGTGATAACATAATTTGAAGTGTCATTAAAAACAACAAAGATTGATCATTCATATGTCAGGGAAGAGGAAAATCAAATTCCAGCCTTTCACATGCATTCCATACATCCCTCACTCACATACCCCTAATACACAATTACTGAGCTGCTCTGGATGCCTCACTCACAGGCTTTTTGTGTTTCATTATCACAAAATACAGTGAGTCTTTATTAATTTACTGTAGTCAAACTGCCAGTTATACCCTCAGGTTTGGGCTTTTTCCCCCCCTCTTTTAAATTACTATTCCCAAAACATCTTATAATCTATTTGCTGTCTTGGTAAAGTACAGCAGATAAAATTAGACAGTAAATTAGATTATTTTGTGGAATCTACTACCAGAAAAATCTCCATAATTACTCTGCTATGTTTAACCTTTCCTGAGCTGGGCGAGTGTAATTCACTTCGTCCCAATCACTCTGAGAGCCCTGCAAACAGTAATTGTGTAATAATTAAAATATCACACATTCCTGGGAAGCACTGAGGAAGAAAAAACCTGGAATATGGATGTGATCACACAAGTAGAGGCAGCAGCAGCATAAAATGAACGTGGCACACGAGACCTCAGCTGTGCCACCTCCTCGCTGTGGGGAATTATCACCTGCACAACCCCATTTGCTGCAGGGTTTTTACAATGACATGAAGCTCTGCTGAACTGAAGAGCCCCAACCCACTGCAGAGTTTGCTCCACTTCAACAGCCTTGTTAAAGTGTTACAGCTCCAGCCCTTCCAATGGTTTAATTTTGGGTGCACCCTCTCACCTGCTGCAGCTTTTTAAAGAATTTGTGGCACCTGCATTTGTACTTTCCCCCCACAGAAGTGTCCCAGTATAAATCAAGGTACACCACAGAGATGGTGGAGCACATCCTGATCCACACATGGGCAAGTTTTCAAAGTAGATCCTCTTCCAAACTTTTCAGACTCTTGCCTGTGTCCCAAGCTCTGAAACCCCCCCCTGGCAGCCACCTGAAACTTCACTTTCCAAGTTCAGAATTGTCAAAAGCACGAAGTGACTCTACCTTTGCTGAAGAACAGACCCTCCCACAGCAGGATCCTTGCCCAGACCAGATATTTAAACAAAATTTAAATTTTATGAAAGGGCTTTTCTAAAATTTTTAAGGAAGGCTCAAAGCTGGCTCAAGTCTGAAAAACTCTAACCAGTAGAGACCATTTCCATCCCAGCCCTGTGTGTCAGATAATACTGACACTACAGCAGATCTCACTTCAGGAAGTTCTGCATAAAGGACCCAAGATTTATTCCAATATTTACATGAATTCCTATTTTGGCAAGAAACAGAGATCTCCCTGTCCCTTCCTTCCACCTCACTCAGCATTCTCTACATCCCTGGCAGAGATATTGCTCATTCCGAGTTTATGGAGGAAATCCAGCTGGAAAAGCAGGATGGATATTCCCACTGCTGAACCACATGGATAACGGGGAGGGCTCCACTGAGGTACCAGCATTACAGACCCACGAGCCCAGCACTCCCTGCCAGGGGTTAGACACGAGTCCAGGGGCTTCCTTCAGATTCTGAAGCTCGAATTTGGAGCTAAATCTCAACCTGGAACAGGGTTTGGCCTTTTCCTTTCCTTACAATCAATGGAGTTTTGAGAAAATTCCAATCTATCAAGGTTACCAGCTGGACTGGTGAGCCAGTTCCGTGGAAGGCTGTCAGCACAAGTCCAGCACCTTCCCAGTGCCTGTTATTGGGTCTGATTTTCCACCCTGTGCTATTTTCTCTCTGGAATTGTGCACACAGCAAGGGAGGTCTCAGAGGAGCAGCCCAAAACAGCAACACCTTGAGCAGGGCACAGGGCTGGGGGGAGCACTGAGACCCTTCCTCCCAACACTCCCTTGCTCTTCAGCTCTGAGGAACCAGAACTTCCCCAGGTCCCAGGTGAAACTCGGGTCATTCACACTCTTTGATGGACTTCTTTATGAAGAGCCAAAAAGTCAGTGGTCCAGCAATTACATTTCTTTAAAATCTTCAAGTCAGCAAGTTCTGAATGGACTCCTTGAAGTTCTAAGAGCTTTACTACAATGAAAACTCTGAGCACTGTGTTCACTTCAGTTTCTCACCCAGCACTCAAAGCTTCCTTCTCTTCCACTCTAATTAATTTGGGAAATATTTTATCACAGCAAACTAATTTCACAATATATTGCATTACAGGCTGGCTGTCAGAACAACTGCCAAGACTGTCATCATTCAAGTTTACTCACATTTATCCATTAACATAAATCTTATTGCAGTCTTCAACAAATAATTCATCACATTTAATCACCTTCCCTTCTTTTCAGGTCTTATAACACGTAGTTAATTCCAAAGCCCCACCACTCTCAAACCTTAAAAATAATCTGTTTTTCCCAGAAATGCAAGCTCCTACCCATATTCTCCTTAGCAATGCAGCCTGAAAGGTAAACATTTAATTCTCCTTTAGATTAATTACCACAGTTAGGACAAAAGTCAAAACAAGGTTGTGTGTTAAATCATTTCACGAGGGGTCAAAATTAGGGACATACCTGCCCAAAACATCCAAATTTTGTTTCCTACATAGAGACATGTGTCAATATATATGTATATACCTACATATATGTATGTTAATGTCTGGTCTGGGTGTATGTCTAAACAAAACCCATCATTTCAGAGCTTTTCCCAGAGAGAAGGTACATTAAAACCTGCCCAGATAAAAAGGATCAGTTTTTACTTTGGCTACAGAAAAGCCATGCTAAGAAAACTCGTACTTTTATCACAAAAGAGGATTTCAGTACAAATTAAATGTGATTTAATTTGTAATTACATTAACAGACCATGCATAACAAGCTAAGGTAGCTATTTAGCAGCAGTAACTGCAGGCTTTGCTCCAACAAAGAATCTTAATTCTGGAGATTTTCCAGTTATTCTATTCAAACAAATAATACAATGGCTGTTGGGGTAAATGGAGTTTAAGAACTCTTTGTTTTCTGCTGGTTGAATCTCTTCCTGTTAAGCCACAGTCACCAGTGTCAGACTTAGGAGCTTTGGCACACTTTAGGGAACAATGAAGGAATCTTATTCCTACAGAGGGGAAAAAGATGAAATTCCCTCCTTTATCCACCTTAAAAGTAAAGTCTGTGGTGAGCACACATTTCACTGACAAAGAAAAAAAAAAAAGCTTAGTGTTGCAAGAAGAAAAAAGAATTAAAAAGTCAACTGGAACCTGTTCTTGTAACAAAGGGCCATAATACTAAAAAACACTTAATATTCTGGAAAATCAGGTCAGACCTGGTTCAAATTGTGTGCACATAAAGATCAAGTATATTTAGTCATGTTATGCCTCAGCCCTCCAAAACAATTTCTCACTCTGAATTCTGAGAATTGAAAATCCCTGTGCAGCCCTCAGGAGTCATCACAGGCAACCTCACAGAAGAGCTCTTAAGGGAATTCCAGCACTGTACTCAGGTGAGGGTTGGAAAATCTGGGCTCTGTATTTCCAAAACCCAGGAGAAAATAAAAGGAGAGCTCTCTGGTAGGTGAGCTTTAACCTCCCTGTGCACTGAACATGCCATAAACCCAGAGCAGGATGGGGTGGGGGGCAGCAAAAATTCATAAAGGTGTGACACGACACCACTTTACACACAAGGAAAACAAATTAAGCTCTTACCAGGCACGTTTATCCTGACATTTCATCCCACTGGGCTGTGCAGCTCTGAGGAGCCTGCAGCAGCCTCCAAAGGCAAGTGATTTCTTACATTTATGACGAGAAAGGCTCTAAATCCTGGGCCATCAGCCTGACACGGCACCAGCTCTCAGGGCACTGAGCTGTTGGTCACCCCAGGGCTCCCCCCAGCCACGACAGCTCAAATTACGAGCCCCGGGACCTTTTTAATTTAAGAGTTGCCAAAAAAAGAGATATATTATATCACTGCTGCTGCAGAGACTCGTGCCCTGCTCTGGCTGCTTTCTGCGGCAGCCACGCCACAATTTCCCTCTCCTTGTTCCACGATTAACCTGGGGCTCCGTTAATCTCCCCGCTGGCTTTGGGGGACACGGAGAACATTCAAGTGCCTGGTTGTAATCTCCTGGTTCTGGTAAGTACGTTCATTAGAGGCACAAAAATGGTCTTGATAAGATTTGTTCTGCTTTTTTCATATAGATTTTCCACCACATTATTTTGAGTGAATACACCAGCAATGACAATGTGTTTTCACTGGATGCATTTCTGAAAGTCCACACTGTTTTTTTAATCATGTCTAACATTTTAATACTCTATTTTCATGAGAAATCATGTAATTGTGCTTTAAACATTTATCCTTAAACTCCCGTGGAACATTTTGACACATAATGGACATTTTCACTGCAGAAAGTCAGTGCAGGGCTTCACACACATAATACACCAACACAAAGTTGTCTTTGTTTTCCTGCAGAGTCCTTATTCCCTTAATTGCTTCTTTTATTCCAGTGGCAACCTAAAGGTAATACATTCTTAATAACCTTCCTGCTTTAAGTAAGATTTCTTGGTTTCAGATGGCTGCAAAAAAAAAGTACTGTGAGACTGTTCCACAAATCTCCTGAACTACATCCCTTGTCCCAGCACAGCCCTCCAGCACTTGGGAACCAGCTTCTTCCCCTCTGGTTTAAAATTCAGTACAAAGGAAGGTGGGCACTAATCCAAACCCCTACTCTGCTGTGAGATAAAGGTAAGGATGTCAGCCACCACTCACCCTTCTGTGAGGAGCTCTTCCTCATTTCTTGTCCACCTGATGGAGGGAGTTGGGAATCCCGTGGCGACGCAGGGGAACAGGGCGCTCTGCCCGCTCAGCCTGGACAGGGCCGACGGCTGCCTCAGGAACGTCAGGGGCTGCGGCTCCTCGGGCTCTGCAAAGGTGTTGGACACGACAGAACACCAATAAAAGCCCCCACCAAAACACAAGGAGCCAAAGAAAACCACAAATGAAACCTCCCATTCCTGTCCTGCATCTCCCCAGGATCCCATCACCACCCCACCCACAGTCTCTGCTGGAGCCTCTCCCAGCCTTGTTACCATTTCTTCCAGACATCCCCACCTTTGGGATTCTCACTCTTCCAACTCCCTGGGAAACTGTTTCAGCTCAAAGCTACAGCCCTGAAACTGGAACTTGCACCAGCGGGCAGAGATTTAGTGAAGAAAGGTTCAGGTCTGGGTTTGTCCAGCCAGCCTTGGGAGATCCCCTGGCTCCATCAGGGAGCTACTGAGGAAGTGCTTTTACATGCTGGAAAATGAAATTACTGCAGCAGAAAGTCATCCTAAGTGGAATAAAACAACCAGCTAATGTGCACACAAGTAACACAAGCTTTACATCCCACCAGTTTTCCATCCTTATGAAAGCGGGAATCCTCTGAATTAGTTTTGCACTGAGTTGGGATGGAGAGGGATTTGTTTCTTTTTTCCCTCCACCTTAAGAACAAGCACAAGCCAAGTGCACATTTCCTCAGTGTGTTACTACAGTTTGTACCCTCTGTGTCTACCCTGAACCAGAGCAAACGAGCTGTACCCACAAGGTACAGCTTTGGGCTGAGTTAGTTACTCCCACTGCTCACACTGCACTAACTGCTGCACTCAGTACTCAGATGTGTGTTTGAAGGTGTGATGACAGCAAAGCTCCAGAACTAGACAAGCCCTCAAATTATTTTTGGCCACCTAAATAGGGCAGACTCTTCTGCACCTCCTCTGCTTCTGCTCTCTGAAGCACCTTCTGTGTCTCATCACACTCAGACGTGGCTGTGTCTCACTCGGGCCCGATGTGATACTCGCAGGCATTTCTGAGAGTTGTTGTTTTGCTGTTCTTCAGCTCAAAATACTAAAAATAGCACAGGAATGTTCACAGCCCCGAGCTCAGGGCACACACGTGCTCCAAGGTACAGCCTGAGGAGGCTGCCAGGGATCTGAGGAACAGAACGGGTGGAAATCCCGTCTCAGAGCCATCCAAGGCAGGGGCAGACAAGCTTTGAGCAGTCCTGGATCTCACCATCTGTTTGGGGCCCACACAGGAATCATTGCCCACATTCCCTGTGAGCAGGAACTGCTCTGCCTGCTCCAGGAACAGGGATACACCAATCCTTACAGGAGGAGAGGAGCTGGGACCGTTCACCACAGACACAGCCCATCATTGCTCTGGGCTCCCAGAACGGACTTCAGCTCCCAGGTGAGTGCAAACTGCATCCAAAAATCAAGTGGGTTTTTTTTCCCCTTGTATTCCTATGTTTGAAAGTACCTGCTATTAACCAGTAGAGCTCAGAAATGTACCCTCCTGCTCAGTGACAGCCTGGTATAAGAAAAAGTAGAACATTTAAGAAGCAGAACATCGTCCATGGATGTAAATCCAAGTGTGTGTTGTGTGTATTTCAAAGACTGGGAAGCAGAGCAGTGGGGTCACTGTCAGGCACATATCAGATAACAATTTAAAAAGGGAATAAACTGAATAAAGAACAGATTAATTCAAATCCTTCTTTCAAATACATCTCAGACCAAACAATCAATTATGGGGCCAATCAAGATTAAGGGAGCTTTCTCTTCAACAGCTTAATCCCACTTTTTAAAAAAAGCCTGCTGGGAGGGATTTCACAAAACTTCACTATTGATACATTCAGATTCATGACCAAGCAAAGAAACAGCATCATTTGTATTCCCTAACAGAATTCTATTTAATCATCTTCAGCAAAGCATTAAAAAAGCAAGTAAACCATATCTAGAGCCAAAAGAATCCAAAAGATCAATGCAATATGGAAGTTTATCAAGTAATCTCCAATTGCCAAAAATCAGAGAAGTCTTAAGCACTTGAAGGGCTGCAGAAACACAAAGGCAATCTAAACTACAATAATTCAATTAAGTACCTTTTCCCAAAGTGCTGTTCTTCAAAACCTGTATCCTTAGTTGAAGGAGAAAGGGCTTTGCTTTGGAAAGGCCTCAAATTCCTACTTCAACCATGATTCATTTCCAAACCTGGCAAACACCCTGATTTCAAAAGAGAGCTGCAGTTGGAAAACTGGGGTATTCTACAGAAATTTCAGCCTTTTAGGTAGAAAAGTGCCACAGTCACAAGCAACAGAACTGTTCATTGGAAGGGATCCCTGAAGGTGCCACCACCTGCTGCCCACACCAGGTCAGGCCAACCATGACATCGCCCAGCCTAACCCTGGAGGCCTCCAGGATGGAAATTCAGCAACTCCTCCAGCAGTTCTCCAGGCAGGAACAACTGAATCAGAATTCCAACATGAAGATGAATTCAGAGGAGACAGCTTTGGAAACAATTAGGAAACCCCATACAAAACACAGCCCCTACATCCCCAGTTTGGGAATGCACAATGCACATTCCTGCCCTACTAGTAGTGACTTTTCAAACCTTTGTGTTGGAGCAGCTGGTGACACAGCTCTGTGCAAGTCACTGGGAACAGAACACACTCAGGGTACCAACACTTGACATCAGCGCTGGACTTCTGTTCTTATAAAAATATCTCAACATTTCAGCACAACAGGCATTGCTAAACCTTCCAAAATAAAGTCATCTTCCTTTGGGGAGTTGGAGAATTCCTAAAAGGGCCCATTGTTAACACAATCGGAATTTCCTGAATATTGGGACAATTAAAAGCCCCTCAGCTGAAGCATCCCGAGAGTGAGGGACTAAGCACCAATTTCTTTGGGAAAATTCAGCAGGAGTTGAAACACGGGATTCAACCTGAGAAACTCAGAAATCCCCACATGTTTATACTCAAAGAAACAGCAGATTCCCCCTTTGCATCATGTCACAGTGGAAGTAAGTGCAGGACTCCTGAAAACAGGGACTTTAGAAAACAATCTATCCCTGAAATCCCTTAAAAGCTGAACATTTCAGTGTGGCAAGAAGGCACAGGAGAGTCTCCAGCCCTTCCCCAACCCCTGCAGAGAGCTCAGAGCCCGCAGAGGCAGAAGGAGCCCCGTGTCCCAGCACGCCCGCGGGTACCTGGCAGGACTGTGAGCTCGGCCTCGTCGCTGTACTTGGGGCCGGCAGAGCCCTCCAGGAGGCAGCGGTACAGCCCCCGGTCGCTGTCGGAGGCGTTGCTGATCACCAGGGCCCCGCTGGGCAACTGCAGCACCCGCTGGTCCAGCGGCACCGGCTGCCGGTCCTGCTCCCACCGCACGAACGGGGCCAGGTCGGCGTTGGCGTCGCAGCTCAGCACGGCACTGCCGCCCCGGGGCACCGCCGTGGGCTCCGGCTGGCTCGTGAACCTGGGCAGGCCTGCACGGGAGTGAACAGAGGAACAAGTCAGAGGCATTCGGTGCTTCGTGATTCCTTCTTCCTTCAAAAAGGGTTAACAAACAATCCCTGGGATCAGAGGCTTCAACTGGATGTTGAAGGATGCAAAACACCCACGGACCAAAAACACTGAGTGGCTCTTCAGTGCAATGGGGCAGAAAAGGGATGGATTTTCCATCCTCTCTCCAATTCTTGAGCTTCCTACTACAATCTGTCACCATGTGCTGCTTATCAGTGACACCCTGGTGCCAAAACTCCATCTCCTCTAGTCCTCCCTGTCCATATTCACTACCTTTGATTGCCTAATAAAGTATCTAACACATGTACTTCTTAAGTTAAACGGTACTTTCTGTAATTTCCAGCTTGGATCCTTATTTGCTTTCCAAAAATCCCTCAGGGTTTCTGTGATTTCTTTTTAAGCATCCGATCTTTGCTCTCCAGTTTCTGCAGAAATCTTTGGAGAAGCAGCATCTGATGTCACATGGTCAGGTTTTGCTCACTTCAATGAAAAACTTCTTTACTTGCACAGGCTCATCTCCAACTGTTACAAACTTTCTCCCCTCTCAGAATAATACCTGGAGGCTCCTTCCACAGCTTCATTCCTCTGAAAAACTTTCTGTTTCTAGTTTCCCCTCCCACTGTATTTCAAACCAACTTCTGGTCCTTTGATCTTGACCTTGTTTTGGTATTAATTATTTTGCATCTTTGATATTTATCCATTACTTCCTCCCTCTAAGGTATTCATAGGCATAAAAATCACAACTTCTTTCTTTCAACTTTCCTCCTGCTTAATGAAGCTACAATCTTCAGTTCCTTGCCCTCATTCCCCAACGTCCTGTGCACCTTTAAAGGCACAGAATGGCAGGATAACCTGGGCAGGAAGGGGCCCAGCCACAGCAGAGTCAGCTACAAGGTCAGAGGGTTACTCAGGGAGTTGTCCAGTCAGACCCCAAATATCCCCATGGATGGAGACTGCACAGCTCTTGGACAACCTGTTCTACCACATGAGTGCCCTCACAGTGCAGAACTTCCTCCTAAATCCAGTCAGAACCTCTTTTGCTTCCATGCCCCCTCCTGTCCCACCATGCCCCACTGGCAGAACGACACATTGAGAACAAACATCCATGGAAATATTACAAAACTGAAAACACCTTCCCAAATCACTGAGCCATCTCAGTGGCTCTCTGCACACCGTCAGGTTACAATTAATCCCAGAACCCACCAACTCACCTTCTTTTCCCTTAAATCCTCCATCCCTCTGTCCCAACCCAGCACAATCCCAAGGATATCCCTGGACCTGCCTGACTTTGCACACTGTGCTAAGAAGTTCCACCCCTGGAGCATTATTTAACTCCTCCTGTGAGAGCCTCGAGGCCACAGCAACAGTACCAGTGTCTCCTGCACGTGCCACACTTGCTCATTTTGCAGGTAAATACGTTGTTTTACAGCTCCATGGCTGATCAGGCCGTTAAGCAGGGTCTTCTAAACCCTGGTCTCTGAGGCATCTTTCAGGAAATCTCCTTTTTGATAGAACCCATTAAAAGTCATAATTACCTCCAATTCTTACCTATCTCAATATTCTCCTTTATTAAGACACCTGCACATTAAGGCAATTCCTTGCCCAGCCTGGAAGGGGGTCCTGGATCTCCTCCTTTTGCCAGGGGAGCCCCTGAGCTCTGTTTTCACCTCCCTTCTTTGCTCCACAAACCACCACTTGTACAATGACCTCACTGGCAACTAAAAGCACAGGTGAGGATGTTCCTGGGGGATTAAAGCCCTGCAATTTTTTAACATCAAGCTCAAATATGCCTTAATTTAACCTCCTCACAAGTACTATTCACTTCCTGGACAAGACAGGCTTTGTGCATTCTGTTGTGTGCAGGTGCTCCATTGAGGCTGAATAAGCTGTATTTAAGATGGTTTCATTACTCACCAGCAATGAAATTACAGTTCATTTTCCAGGTCATCCTAAACGCCACTAAAACCTTTATTTCATCATAGTCCTGTGTGTTTTTAAAATATACATTTTAAACTAGGCTATAATTTTGTCCTAAAGAGTAATTTTCTCTTATTCTACAATTATTGGCAATTTGCACTGCTTAAAAGCCTCCACTGTGGAGGAGGAGTCTTTGCTTTAGCCAACACACAACCACAAAACAATAATGATGGATTACAAAAGGCACTCCAAATACAGGCCTTAATTACTATTAATTCAGAGACCTGTTTATAAATACAGGAGCAGGTCCCAGAGCGTGTGCCAGAGTGCAGGCACACCTCCTGCAGCAGAACACAACCAGAAAATACTCTTCCCTCTCCCAGTCCAGGACCTTGCCATTACAGACCTGCTCTTTTCCTCTTCAAATATCAATTAACAGCTTCTAAGTCTGAATTTCCATAACTTCCTATAATCTTTTTTGACTGCATTACCACGTAAGCCAATTCAGTCTTTCGATTTACACTAGAAACACATTCAAAACTATTGTAAAAAATAACTTTTTAAAAAGTTGGTGCCTTTTTTCTCAATAGTTTCTATTTCCCAAACACTTCAACCAACAAGATTAAGCAAGAAGATGTAATGACAGAATCCCAGAATGGTTTGGGTTGGGAGGGACCTTAAAGCTCATCCAGTCCCACCCCTTGCCATGAACAGGGACACCTTCCACTATCCCAGGTTGATCCACAATCCATCCAACTAGCCTTGGACATTTCCAGGGATGGAAGGTACACTCCTAATGAGGGAGCAGCCCCCACTCCTCACCCACACATTGCAGGGCAATCAGTTGAAGGCATCATCCCATCTTTTGGCAAATGAATGCAATGATAAATGACACTTTGGGGTTCTGATATTAAAGACAATTTTTGGTGTTTGTACACACGTTAATCATTCTGTGTCAGCTCACATACATTATGTATCGATTTCAGGACACCAAAGGAAAATACTACTGACCCAGCAGAACACAGGTTAATAAACTCAATTTAGGAGGGATGATTTTCCTTTTGGAATGTTCTCTAAACACAGACAGGAGAACACATAAGCAACAGTGTGACTCTCACAGCACACAAGGGAATGAGATGCATCACAGACTCCACACTTTCTGCCAGGACAATGCAAATGGGAGGGAGGGGGGAAGCCAACTCTGTCCCTATTTTCTCCTTTCCTTTTGTCTCTCCCCTCCTCTCATCAAAGCCCAGAGCTATGGCAGGAATGTGAATGAACAATCTATTAATGCAAATGTGGTGCATTCAATCAGCATTCCCAGTCTAAGCCTTACTGAGATTTGTGGCCCATTGTCTCCATTTCTGAAAAAGATGTGCCTAGAAGAGCAATAATTCCCATGCTCCTGGAAAACACAGATGGTTAAAATTCTGGCTGTCGTCTGCTGCCGTCAATGGAGCCAGTATTTCATCTCCTGCAGTTTGCACAAGTGGAGGAATTCACTGCCCTGATGCCAATCCAGCCCAGCAGCCTCTGTGACTGTGGCCAGTGCCAATCACTTCCAAGGAGACTGAAAGAAGAAAACCTTCCATAATCAACAACTACTAAATAACTCACAAGAGTGCTGTAACCAAGTTCAGAGTCCTGCCTTCCCTCTAAATCCCATCAGCAGCCACTAGAAATGCTTCATTTGATTTAACATGGATGCTGCTGCCACACACACATTTAAACCCCTTGAGAATCCTACCAACCTTTTGGGATCAGTCCTGCCAAACCAACACTGCTAAAGAGAAATAAGAAAAAGAGCACAGGTTCCTCGTCCTTAAGGAACAAAAAGCTGCAGAGGAATCCCCTCCTCTCTGTGGACCTTTCCTACGTGGTCACAAGGTTTTTCATCATGTGAGTCTCTTCTACTGCCCCTGCATAGACTGGAATTTAAGAGAACACTTTGTATAAGCATTAAACAGCTCTAAACACACACCCATTACATGTTTGTGCAATTAACTGCTTCCCAAGGCTGGTTTCAGGCCTTTTTTGTGACATCTCGATGTGCTCAACAAATGTTTTCCCTGTCACTCCCCTGGTAATTTCTAATGCAATATGGAAAAAGCAAAGCACGGGAGCAGCCGACAGGTTTTCCAAACTCCTTTCCTCCTGTACCCCAGCTGTGAAAATCCTCTGATGTCCAACATTACTCTCACACTTTTCTCATCATTCACCCAAGTCTGAACTAACTCCAGCAGCCCATCTCCCAGCACTCCCACCCTCCAAGTTAAACTGGTCTGTCAGTGATCCCACAAACCGCTCCCAATTTTAAGACACTTTAATTTCTCCCCATCCCTGTCTGCCTAAGCAAATTTGAGCTCATGACAAATCCAGAGCTATTAGTCCCTTATCCAAACAGCCTCTGGGGAAGTGTGAAGATTTCAGGCACACAAGAGAACAGAAACACGATTCCCTATTGTTAGGATGGCTCCAACATCTGTTATCCCTCAGCAACGCGGCGGATCACAAAGATGCTGCATATTTTGTTAGTGCATCAGCTTCTCACCCCAACCCTGTTAAAAAATTAATAAGTCCAGCCATCTGTGGACACTTCATTAAATTATCACAGCTCCTTCTCCCCAGCATTATTCAGCATCATTTGCTGGAGTGGCAGAGGTGTGAAACGGCTTAAAATACACTCTGTTAATAGGACATATTTCATGAATCTCAGCAGCAAATGGATCAGACTTTGTAATTACAAAACACTCCTGGAGAGCACAAGTCCAGCACTACCTGAATTAGGGTGAGACCAGATGCTTCCAGTCCTTTCCACAAACACCAACTAGCACACCATTCTCCCCCCTTGCTTAGGCAATCCAGACAGGAGAGAACAAAACCTGGCCCAAAATCCAGGCAGGAGAGCTCTGGGCAGGAGATGGCTCTTAAAATCCAGGCAGGAGACAGAGGGCAAGAGTATTCTTACATGGATTATAACGTGGAGAGAAGAAAACCTACCCAAAGTCCTTGTTGGCTAAACAAAAGCAGGAGGTATGTGGAACAC